AGTATAATTGCAATTTTGGAGTCACTTAGCCGCTAGTAAAGGATAGAAGTTACAGTATGGTTTTCTGTGAACGTAACTTTGATAAAAAGAACGCTTGCCTGTTTGTTCTAGAGATCCCTGCTCTTTAATACGAAAGCCACATGACTGCGACAGCAACGCATTGCTCTTTTTTCGCATTCCTTTAGACATAGCTATGATTTATATTTGGGAACACGCTTCCCGCAATGTGCGATTGCTTTAAAAAGCACATTTGTGCATTTTTCCAGCATGTACTTGATGAAAGGGTAGAAAGAGAGTGCACTGATCAGTTTGAGGGATTCGGTGATTGTTTTACTCATGAATATGTGACGTTCGGAGGAAGGATTCAAAATGTTTCTAATACCCATAGTCTTAGCAAAGTCTCTTTCCATTATATTTATCGCCAACGGTTAATTTTCCTTTGGTAGCTATCAAAAGCTCAAGCATTAGAAAGCTATGTTACGTTGTTACTGTAGCTCGATTACCGATCGACGTTAGCGTTGCCCGCTAGGCGAAATATCAACGCGGTTCGCAACGTGTTAAGGCATACAGTTCTTTGCTGGAGGGCATCATGACTACAAAAAGTTAGATCTGCACTTTAGAATAAGTAATTTAAAGCTGATAATTGTCAAGAATCAATTGCAAAACTTTTGCTCATGAAATTTTGGCAATTATTGAAGGCTAATTTTAGTTACATAAATTTCACCACTTGATATTCCAAATGTGTTCGTCAGTTTCTGAAAAAACTGTTTCCTCGAAACATTCAAAAGCATCTGATAATATATGCGCAACGGAAATATTGTACATCTACTTAGACAAAGCAGCCAGAAAAAATGTGCGACTGGCGACGGAAGTGTTCTCTCAGATAAGCCACGTGCGAAACAATAGAAAATTTTTTGCAGAACATTTACGATAACGACCTCAGCAATACAATTAATGAAGATAGTCAAGAGCTTCGGCCAATTCGTTTCAATGAAATTCCAATGTCAATCCATTTGAAGTTGCAGTTAGTCGTGGTTAAGTCGTCTCCTAAAATTCTACTTCAATAAGCCGTTGTTGTTTACAGTAAAAGTGAGTTAGTATTGCTAATCACAGATGTTCTCAGCAAATGATGGCCGAAATCAAAGGTTTCTAATTTTATTTCTCATCTTTCAAATATCACACCTTTTGGCATATTGGGCAAGGAGGTCTAGAGTAATCTGTAGTGCCTTCAAGCATAGCATAAGTTAAAACTACTGGTAATAGGAAAATATCCTCTTAAAATTGAATCGTCAGTTTCTTTTAGCATAATATTACCATCGCTACGATTTCTGGAAGCTAACAATTATTCACTGTATCTCCAGAGCCTTTGCTTTGCCTTTCTTCTAGCCATGTTCTAACTTTGTCGGTGCCATCAACAATAGCGGATTATTTCTGTTACATCGAGAAGATTTTTTGATGGGACCCCTTTTGTCACACTAAAATTTTCATCAAACTATCAATAACAATCAAACAATCAATTGTCATTCAAAAGTCTGAATCGCGCTGCATCAAAAAATTTTTGGAAACCTTTTTACAGCTGTGGCATTCAAAATAAAATTGCTTCACACATGTCATGCATTGACGCGAGGATCTTTGTTATTTAATGCGAAAATTTTCCTTCGTACCGCAAATGCTTTTACGTTTTTTGTATCAAATTGTAAGAGGAATTCTGCTCTATCGTTTTAGTGCTTAGGTTTTTATTTCGTTTTATATTGCCAAATAGGGGGCGCCGTGGCCTAGTGGTTGTGATGTTTGTCACGGTGCGCGAGGAGCCGAGCTCCATCTTCAGTTCTCTCCGGCAGCCAACAACAACGCCCTATGGATCGCCGCAGCAAGGCCATCTTCGAGATTGCAAAGAAACTCGCTCAACCAGTATTCTACGTCGTGAAGACGAAAAACGAATGCGATAAGTACTGGGATATTCACAGTGAAAAAAGAATAGCGTGATGACGCATCAGATAAAGTGCAAAATAAAAAGTGGTTTATTGCTAAATAAAACCGCTACTAGGGCTTAGCCTATGACTAGAATTACCCTAGAAATACTAGAATACTACTATACTATTAATACTACTAGATACTAATGCTAGAAGCATATGAACGTGTAGAGGAAATCCTCACCCATAAGCGTCACATGTTTTATTTGGTTTCCTCGCCAAAACGGAAAAAACCTAACAAGATTTTCACTCCACATGTGGATTTCGCCTGTGCGGTCAATCGGGTCGCAGCTGTGATCCACAGCCACCATGTCCTAACCGGCTTATTTCTAGTGCGACAGTGCAGTAAAATGGTTTTTCCAGAAAACGAAAATGGTATGGAATTGGTGAAGTATACTCTATCTAATAATTACTAGTAGTCTTAGGGAAGTGTTCCGCTGCGCTCGATCAAGGTGCGATAACGCGCGACACGACGGGGACGGCAGAATTCGACATTGAGCTTATGTTGAGTTACAGTTATAGGCAAAACCATGCTCTAAGTTCTATTCACTGCCTACTGCTATCACAATGGTGAGATGCGATATTAGATGCAATCAAAGGAACGCTGATGTAGCAAAACGTCGGATCTTAGTCGGGCTTTAAATTCGCGAGTATCTTTTCTGGTAGCTCAGATCCTACCACTGCATCACGAAGGCCTTTGCTTTTACTTGCTTTCAGCCATAATTCAATTTTAGATAAAATCAAGAATAGCCCATCAGCACTGTTTCTGGACTTTAAGTTTCAATCACACTTCATGTTTTTTGTGATAGCACTTCACATACTTCTGCCATAAAGAAAATAATAAGCAGTGAAAAAATTCAAATCACTTTCATAATAATGAAATCAGAACATTCACATCATGTGTTCTATCCATGCATTCTTCAAATGTCTTAACTTTCTCACAGCTTTTTTCAAATCCATATTTGGAAGACATTAGGTCGAGCAAAATGTTGTGGGAAATTTTTGTGAGTTCCAATTTTTGACATCTTCGTGTCGTTTTTTATCGATAGTTTTGTACACATTTATCTAGTTCATTAATTTGGATAGCTAAATCGCGTCCACGACAAACTGGTGGAAAAGTATCCAGGATTGGTCTGACAAAAGCACGCTTTGTTTCAACGGGACAATACCAAAATGTTTATGGCCAGGAAGACCTAAAAAGTTTGAAGAGTCATCCCGCTCTTAGTTCAGACGTTTCTCCATTCGATTATGGCCTTTTTCGATCAATACAACACTTTTTGAATGACCGTCGATTTGAAACATTCAATGAGGGTGAAGAAGAATACCAAGAGATTTTTGGTCAAAGAACCGGAATGAAAACTCCGAGCAGATTGAAAATTCTGAAGATGGATGGTGGAAGTCGTGGACATTGGTGGTCTACACTTTGAAGAATAGTCATTCTTGTTTTTGTTATTGCTTAGCGCATAAAAACAAAACTTCCAAAAATTTCTTGGGTCTTTTTGATCAACCATGGTATGAAACACACTACTGATAGTTCCTTATATTGCTCGTGATTGCTTCAACATTAATCATCATCGCTAGTAATCATTACAACTACTAAATATAAATTTGATGTTGACCGATTTTCCATTTAATCGCACCCAATAATTTCCTTTCTCCGCTAGAATATACTAGGTAAATAATTGCTATTCTATTCTCATTGGTACAACAAAATCTCAGGTAGCGTCAACACATGTTCACAGATTTCCAACAATATTATAGTCCAACACTTTCAATCAAGCATTTTAGACCTTCCTCAAAGTCCAATATAATCTGATAGAATTTTCCAAAATTTTCAGAGGTTTGGTATGACACCTCGAGTGCTAGACGTACGTTTTGGCTCTCACGCAAGTCTCATCAATAGACATGCCATTCAGCTGCTCGTCCCCCACTATCACGAAGAATCGGCGCCGAAGAAGTTACTCTCGTGTCAGGTGAAAAAAGCCCCGACGTGGTGTTTTTTCCACAATGATTGACTGCCGATGATTCGAAACGCGGTCGCAGAATAGTCGAATGATAGTGTTGGTGTTTATATATACTGGCGGAGGCCGTGCCAAGCAGACGACAATTGGCACTCAATCACTCTGAAAGAATGCCATGCTGGATAATGTTTTCATTTGACCCGGAGTGCAACTTCTTCGGCGCCGATTCCTTGTAATGGTAGACGACGAGTAGCCGAATGGCATGTGTTATTGATAAGACAATGAGACAACAGGCAACGGCAACGACGATTTTGATACAAAGAACTACAAAATCTTTACAAAATGGAGAAAAAATTTCCGAACAAGTGGCAACGCTCATAAGCTCGATGCGTATGCTGTAAAAACAAATTTATTTTGAATGCTGCGGCGCCGTCAGAAGGGCTTTCCACATAAAAGTATATTTCTTAATTCTCCTGAATTTAAACTTTCTAATGATTGCTGAGAGTCTAATGAAAATCTTTGTCCAGCGAAACCTTCAAAAAACCCTGCGCGGTAACAGAAATGATCCTTTTCTTATCAGATTGTCATCAGATTATATATTGCCTTAAGCGAGGTCTATAAGGAATTGAATGCAATGGTATGATTCCTTCCACCAATCAGGAGTGAACGACTGCTGGTCATTGCAAGGACGGGAGAATTTGTCACCTGACATGCCATGATTTGTTAATTCGATGTCGATTCTTCCATATGTGGGGGTTTGTCCCTCTGCAAGGGATTGACTAAATCGAAAGGCACCGTGCCACTGATGAGGCCGTAATAACGAAACACGTGTCTAGCACTGTGTAAGTGCTATGTCAGACCTCGTGATATGGTGAAAAATTATCACTACATCCTTTCCTTCTTATTCACTTAGATTCGATGAGCGCGACCATCTTCACATTTCATACGGCAGCAGGCCGCAGTTATTTGTTTTCCTACTCAAAATTTCTAATATTCTAACTGCATTTTTCGCAGTGTTATGATGTTTCGTGTGCACCTAGGAAAGTTGAGTGGTGAGCAAAAGCATGGCATCAGGCGGGAATCGAACCCGCGTTTCATCCATACGGGGGCGCGTGCTCTACTATTACACCACCGACACACATATGCACCACCACTCATTCTTCAACATCTCTGTGTTACCTACCAGCCAGTAACCTTTAACAGGTTTGGTCGGGCTCGCGCTTTCGCTTTGCAAACGCAGTTGAGCTGACAGCCATTGTAATAAATAATACTCGAAATACTAGTATTTTAATTGCATTTTTCGTGGTGTTACTTTTCTTTGTTGCTTTTGTTAGTTTTGTTTGTGTTAGCTTCTTACTTTGAAACTATTTTCCATAAAGTGGAGAACAGATTCAGATGAGTTTGACGGCAAGTTTTTATATCGTGCTGATTTGGCTGGTAAAATAAGGTTGATATAAATGAATCAGTTCGACTACGGTTTCGACATCATCGGGTTCTCCAAACTCGATAATCCGAGTCGATTTTGCGCAGTCGTGCGCCCTCGTTATGGTTTTTGTCTTCGTTGCTGTTCCAGTCGAATTAATTTCGCTGCGCACCCCTCAAATAAAGAGCCTGTACTCGACGTTCCTTTATATAAAAGACGATTGTTGATGATACTAGATGTTCATCAATAAAGCTTTGTTTTTTAGACAATCCATCTGCATTCGATGTCAATACTGACAAGCGAATGGCGTTATAGCGTATAACCAGCACTTAGTGTTATAGTAACTAACGTGTTTGTGCGTCATAGCATTATAATAACCGTGTGCTAGTCCATAATGACACCGACTAATGCAGGATGGATTGTCCACTGAAAACAAAGGTCATCTATGGTTATTCAGTGTCATCAACAACTGTCCTGTTTATAAGAGCGTCACCAAGTGGAGTTTTTTTATTCGAGCTGTGCTCCATCGGAGAGGATTCTACTCGAACGGCAGAAGGCGAAGGCTATAACAAAGGAGAACGACTGTGTACATCGACTTGAATCATCTACTGTGAAGAAGAAAAGGAAGAAGACGTCGGAACGTTAGCATATCAAATTTATTTTTATCGGCCTCCTGCTATTGGCTTAATCAAAAAGAAACATGAATCGATTGGTAATGCCGAAGTTACAGGAAAGTTGCTTTTCAAGTTATTAGAACGCTATAAGCGAAGAGTTGCTAATGTGTAGTTTCGTCTCTCCATTGGTATTCCAAAAATTAGTGGGAATGATTTTTGTTGGGATTCCTAAAGAGCAGCAGTAAGATCGCTGAAAGCTTTTGCTATAGCTAGCAGCCGCGCTTTGTTTTTCGAAAAAGGTCTCCCGCTTCAAAATTAGGAATTTTCAGTACTCTAGTGAATCTTATGATTGGCTGGGCGTTTAGCAGGAGGCAATGTAGTAGGAGTGATTAGGCTCTAATTCTCCAGTATATTCGAACGACCCGTCTTCACAATGATATCAAAATTCAGTGCATTTCACATTTGTGTCTTTCAGCGTAACTGCCGTCCTCAAAATGACTAAATTTAGGTACAAGTCGTCCACTTATAGTGCATGCGAACATTGTAGAGACGTTCGCTTTCACTTTCGAGTTTTGAGATTCCCTTACGTTAGAGAAACTAGTGCTCATCTCGAATTATGAGATGCATCAAATTCTTAGAGTGGAACCCACTTTTCAATCGAACAGTAAAACTCTGGATGAATGTGGCGTCAAAACATCAGCGCGGAATTCTGAATTTGTTAGTACTATGTTGACTTTTCTACGAGTTCAAAATGCTGTCTATACTGCAGGTATTTCCGTGCACAGTCTTCATTCTATCTCACCGTTTCCATATTGATGATATCGCTTGTGTACACGTAAATTATGGTTTTTGAGTACAACTTCACTGTTCGTCCATTGATCTCAAAATCCTTCTTCTCCAGAGTGATCTTGCTTGAATATCATTGTACATGATGTTAGATACTGAAGAGCATTTCCAAGTTATAATAAGGCGAAAACTAATGGTAAGGTGGGGGATGACATCGTACTTATTTCCATATCATTAGTTATCGTTAACCATGATAAACATCTTATAAAGCAAAATTTTGCTATACTTGCTCATATAGGGCAACACAGTATTGCGAAGGTGGAGTGAGTCGCGATATCGATACCCACATGATTAAGTTACTTGAACCCATTAACGTCAAATCACTATCATAAAACAGGAACAAAAGTTCAGAGGTGAATGTACGGAGTAAGCCAGTCAGACAATAGTTGAAATGGAAACATGAAGAATACGAAAGAAGTATGCAGTTTTTTACACATTCGTAATCGGTTCACAAAGGTATGAAGTGCTAAGAGCAAGAAACGGCGGGTAAAGCTTCAAATTTTATGACTACCATTGGAAACAAGAAGATAGACCACATTCAAAGTTGAGAACGACTACGGAGCAATGCCAGTTTTCAAAAACTAGGTCAAGGAGAAGAGAAGAGCAGAACGAACATTATGAAGAACTCAGAACACATTGAGTAGTCCTAATTCATAAGCTTGTAACCGAGCTTCTTTTTGTGAATTTCTTCACAAAGTTTGTGATAAAAGCATTCAGTAGAGTAGTAATGATTACAACGACGACTTTCTTAACAAGGTAGTTCTAATCGTATATTCTCTGTCGGTTTGGAGATATTACAGATTAATTGCTATGTGCTTACAATTCACACCAACAAATCCGTACATTTTGAATAGATCATGAATTTTTGTTGTTTACATGGCCTTCTTTTTTCTATTCTTTCCAACTGGATTGCTATAAGTTGCGAGACATCTTGATTTTATGTCAGTCAGTTAACTCATAAATATTCAGATTATGGACAAGGAAAGAATTTTGGATATCAAGAGAAATCTGTATGTAATCAGTGCAGAAGGCAAGCAAAATTTCTAAAATCGGTCATATTTATATCCGAAAATACACGTGTAATGATTGGTTCGACCCAAACGCCAAATTAACCTACCTCACCTCTCTCGTTTAGCCAACTGGTACCACGCTTGTTTAGAAAAGTAGAAAGCAGCGGTATGACGCATCGATAGGCTTCCTTAATATCATCAGAGTCGGGATTACACATTCATTCACCTCCACGATTCCGCGGATGATGTCGAATGCATGCTGCATTCGTAACCCATTGATAAGCGATGAATATCACACCTTCTACCGCTTTATCTCAAAAAGCAAAAAGGGCATTGAATTGAAGATGGTGAAGAGTAATCTTATCATTACTAAAGTTTTTGAACATTATCTGAATTTCCAACCGACCATGTGTCAACGTCAAAATGGAGTGAATAATTCATATCTAACCCTTTTAAGCAGATAGGTTGCTAATGACAGTAGATGTTGAATACAATAGTAAAACACTACCATAATAGTACAATAAATGACGAATACGACAATATCGCCTTCTTCAAAGCCTGAATGAGTGAAATTTTGCTTGCAATCCACTCGTTCAAGCACTTTCATAACTAAAAATTAATTTGTAAGCATCTAGTGTTGCTTACGCATTGTTTTTGTTTCTGGCTATGATTGAGTTTGGTTGAGTGAATTGCGTTTCAAAATTTGACTCTTCCAGGCTCTGAAGAAGGCGATACTGCCGGAGCGTCATCCATTGTACTATAGTGTGCTGTTTTACTATTGTATTTGATAGATACTAGTATTAGAAACCTTAAATCAGTTTAAATAGAGGATACTGAATAATCTAAATTATGAAGGTCAATAAAACCCGTAAGTTTCGCTGTTTCTATCAAACAAGTGTTGATACATGATATTAGGAGAAGCACTGACAGGCACCCTTTTCCAGGTGTTCTTATACTGATCATTAATGTGCCACTCGTCCTACTTATTCTTGGATTGGAACGATTTCGTAAACGTAAAGAGCTCTTATTCATTGCCGGCTTGGCGATCGGTGATCTGATTTACACTACTGGTTATCTATCTATGGCAATTCAACGTATGCTCTATCTTGAGTACCGTGGTAAAGTGATGTTAACTCGTATTCTGAAAATATTAACTCTGTATTCATTATTAAAGTAGAAAACGATATGATGAAAGCATTTGCAGCACTTGACATTGTAGACAGTTGAGTGTTGAATGTGTAAGAATGATTATCGTGAACTGCAACACTGTTTGGCTGCAATCTTGAGATAGATGTATCATAGATGCTATTTTTTCTCAGAATGGGTTCGAAAAGCTGATTACGCCCCTGAGGCTAATTACTCTGTTAACCATTTCTGACACAAAATTTCTTCTGAGTAGTCTTCAGGAAAGATATTAGACTTAACCCGGTGTGGTTTACAGGCAGAATTCCTGACTGTTTTCCAGCGCTGATCGATGGAACATTGCTAAGCTTTTGAACCAAACTTACGAAGTTTTTCTGCCTGTTTTTTTGTCTACTATCAAAGAAATCCTTTTTTTTTTTGATCCTGGGTGCAGTACAGTCTCTGTTTTCTATAAAAAGCACTCTGAACCACATCAATCAAAGCAACCCATTTTCACAACAAGAGTACTAAGATAGCACTTGATTTTTTTTCCTTATGAAACACTAAGAAAACCTTTCAAGAAACCAAAAACATTAATGGGATTTTTGGAGTTTGATCTATTGCTCGGTTTTTTAAAACTATAAAAGAACCGCCCTGGTTAGTGAGAAATCTTCGAACGAGAAACAAATTATCATTTTTGCTATTTCAACGCAATAGCGAGGCCTTTTTGAAAGTGAAATACACCATTCAAATTCTCGATTGCGTATTTAACACTAAAAACGTTAAAAAAAAGTACATTTTTTCCTATGGATCAAAGTGAAGAGAGAGTAATTGAAGTGCTTCGTTTTTTGCAAAATCCAGTCTTTTTTCGGCTGTCACAGCGTAATACCAGGTCCTTTATATAAACCAAATAGATTACTGGAATTCTTAGTATTTGATCTATCGATGTGGCCACTAAAACTGCGAAGGAAAGCTTTGATCAGCAACAAATTTTTCAATGACGAACAAAATTGTAATCTTACTCTTTCAGGGCAGTAAGAAGACCTTTTTGAATATGAGATATACCATTCAATTTTTCTTAATTTGTGCTATCAAACAACTATCTGAGCATTGAAAAAGGCCA